GCCCCCCTAATGTTTTTAATTAACTTTCAATTGTGGGCCCGAAACCGCAAAATTCCGGGGGGCGGCAGTTTTAATATTAGGGGGGGGGGGTTATTAAACGTGGGAAGAGATTAGTGCGCGACTTGCATCTTGGATTGTTATAGGAGCAAGGAAATTGCAAGTCATGCATTGCTCAGCCTGCCTTGCTTTGTTAGAGGGCGCCCAGAGAAGAAATCTGCCTGGTCTGGGAGATGCCCGTAGCAGTCAGGTCACGGAGTTCCCGAGCCGGTACCTGGCCTACCGCCACTACCGACTGCAGGGCTGGACGGTGAGCCCGGCGCAGCTTTGAGCTCTTCGACCCGGGCAGGGGAAACTCCGGGATTTGTCTATTTTCCTTCGCTTCGAATATGCCCAAACAGGGCAAATTTGCACGGCAGCACAGATTCCTGCTCAAGAGGTGCGTGTAACGTGCGTAAGTGTAAGGGCATAAGTGGAACTCTGTGTTTGTGGGTGGGCATGTATGGTGCTCAATTGTACTCCAACCTTCACAGAACAACAGCCCAGAAGAACCACCAGCCATCCAGGTATGCCCCGATTCTCTCAAGTTTGGTGCAGACTTTCTGCTGTATGATGGGCGGCCAGACGAGGCTGGATTGTTTGGACCTTGGAGGGTCGGAACCAGAATAAGCCATAAACCCAGGCCCGGCACTAAAGGCTTGGGTGGCCTCGCCTCTGAGCAACACAGGGCTGGAGTTGGGTCTATGCAGCGTCTCTCGAGCATTCGAGACGACCTGCATGCTGCACAGGTAGAAGTTCCACAGCCGCAGCTGCATCTCAGTGCACAGAGAAGAATCCTACTGTGTGCCCGTGGGTCTGTGGTTGAATTCAGGGAGCCTGTCAAAGGCTAGCCACCAATCCCTGGAGGTCCATGCAGACTACGCTTTGATCCTAGCCACCGAATCGTTGCAGTGGAAGGCCCAGCGGGTGCAGGATTTTTTTGCTAAATCATGGAGGAAGCTCCACACACACTTCAGGACGTGGTGATGGCGAGTCGTTTGGCGCAGCTGGTGGCCAAAGAGCTGCTACTGAGCCTTGGTGGCATGTTATCTCGGACTGTCAGCCTGAAGCAGGGCCCATGGTCTTGCGACGGTGCTAGGACGGCTGGGACAAGAGCAAGTTGTGACTAGCTCTTCTCCTCATAGAGCGGAAGCAGTGATGTTGAGGACCGACTTCCCAGCTGCTACTGAATGAGATGCACCCGTACCGAAACTCCTTGCGTCCTTTCGTGTGCTGCCGTCATGAGATGCATGTACGCGTGTGGCCATACATATAAGTAAAGACATGAGTTCTCGCCGCATGACATTTGCTGCTCAGGGTCGCAGCCAATGCGTCTTCAAAGGCTGAGGCCTGAAACCCTATGTGAAGCGACTTATGTCAAGAAGAGAGATGAAGAGAGTGCTGCTATGGAAAACTGCCTCTGAATACAGTGCAAGTCGGGTAGTGGACACTCATACTGACGGCCACTAGTTTGATGAAGCCGCCTGAGATCAGGGCGCCAGCAACACATGGACGACTTTAGCGCATGAGTTGGCTCTTGCTGCTGCTGCTGCTGCTGCTGCTGAAGCTCCAACTGACACAAGCAGACCTACTGCTGAGCGGCACTGGGGTCGTGAAATACCTTTAGGCCTTCGTAGGTTCGTTATGAAGCGCGAAGCACCACATTGCTCCAATCTCAGCAAGCTATGCTGGGGTTAAGTTGCGCAGGGCCGAGAGCGATGGTCTGTCATGATGTGCCTGACAAAGGTTCAGGCATATCTCATCAGGCATCCGGGGTGCTAGTACCGACAGCGCCGACCCTCCAAAGGGTCGAGTGTGAGCACAGGCGAGGCTCGCCGAGTTCCTGGCCTCCAGCACACCGGTGCTGGAATTCGCCACAAGGCAAGCAGGGCTGCATTCTTATTTATTGTGTGGCTGAAGTTGGGGTGAAAAAGCTCAAGTCGGAAGAACCGTTGCCGGAACCCAGAAGCAGAAGCTGCCCATGTCTGGTCGGGCTGCATCAATGTCGCCGGGCAGCTTGTGGGATCCAAGTGGACGATTGGATAGAAGTATAGACTACAGAAGTCGAGCCCATTGAAGTGCCATTGCCAGGCCCTGGCGCCGTCATCTCTCTTAGCTTGAGCGCAGTCCTGGCTTCGGGAAAATGCTAGAGCCTTCGGTTGCTCGCTCGTTGTCCGAGCATGGTGCCGATCCGCGAGTACGCTACAGAGAGGCTGGCACTCAGATTATGAATTTCCAGGTTGGTGTCTGGGGGACTTCACAGGGACATGGAGGGCTCGGCACGGGGATCCAGCTTGCCGATGGACAGGTTTGCAGGAGTTTCCGTTCAGGTCGGATTTCGGTCGTCCTCTGACTGTTCGGGGCCTCACGCGCTTCGTACCCAAAAGGGCAACCAACTTGCTCGAACGTAATCATCTATATTTTGCAATATGCGGGTGGCATGTTGTCACATTCAACAGAGGAGCATGCATGGCAGGTTTTGGGTTTTGAGCGTTTTATATCGGCTGGCGGTTCGATAAGCATGGAGTGACCCCCTTGACACGAGCATGTCTCAGCTTTCAGACTTTGAGCCGCTCTCAACAAAGGCTCAAGACGGGCCCGAGGCAGCACATGCCCCTAAATCCGATTAACAGGGGCCGAGTCGGGCCTTCCAGTGAGCCACCTTTTCGAAACGGCCTTTTAGCCTCCTGTGACTCAAAAATGGCTTACGCTTCTTTCCAGAGCGTTGGCCTTAGCTCGGACCCAGACGAGACCCAAGCCCTGAGCGACTTGCTGTACTACGACCCCCCCCCCTGCCCCCACACAGCAGAGACTCTGCCTTCCTGTGTATGTACACATCATGGGGCCCAGATGCATGTGGACCCCCTTGAGCCGATGACATGGCGGCTGCACAGCCGTCCCGCTTGGGGAATCTGAGGCCTCGACGAGTCGGAGAGTAGAGAAGTTTTGCTGCCCAATGCATTCCGCAGCATGGTTGCGCAAGTGCGTTGATGTGCTGCATAATACAGCGAAATATAGCATGCATGTGTTACATACGTCTACACCAGTGGATCCAACCTATACATTCAACCCGACATTCGCGAAGAATGTCGGACTGCGACATTGTGCTTCATGCGTTGATGGTAGTATTGTTGGAGGAACTACGTTAACTCTTTGTTTGTTGTCGATACAGCGCCGCTGCTTTCATGGATTTGCGGACAGGTATGGAAAACACTGATAGTCATAAGCAGTCCGTCGAAGCGCAACAAGGGATGACAAGCTTGCCAGTAGAGTAAATAAAAGGCGCCAGTGAAGATTCAATGAAGATCGTGCAGACGAAGAGGAGACGCAGAATAAACCTTCTCTAATTTCTGTTGAAACGACTGCTGGTTGCTAGTCAGTCCTAGTCCTGAGAAGCGTTGCCTGTAAATGACACAAGAGGAACACTGGAGGAGTTGGGAGACCAATAGTCGAAATCACGATCATGGAGAAACGTCTTCGCCACCACCATTGAACGAAAGAACCACCTTGGGCACACAAAGCATTTGAAGTTCTACATGCCATCCGGCTGTCTGGCACGCTTGGCTTGTCCGCCTATAGAGAGTGCACGGCTTCCGCTGTGCTACTGGAGACTGGAGGCTGAACCTGGCCAACAGTCGACTGAACCTGCAGAAGTTGCTGGATCTTCTGGAGGGGTGTGTCCGACATGGTTGGAACCACATTACATGTATTGCTTGCGGCAGTCAGAAGTCTTCGCATGAGTAGTAGGGCCTGGCAGCGAATTCAAAACGCACGAAGGGCAACAAAGGTTCTTAATTTGGAGCCTAACTGGAGGTCTTTGGTGCTTCAGAGTGGCTGACTGGCAATCTTGTGTCCAAGCTGGGCATAAAAGGTTCTTGGGTCTGTTGGAGTATCCTGAAGCAGAGCTTGTGGATGTTAGTGTTTGGGTGATTTTGGGTGTTCTGTTTGGCCTCCGTGGCTCAATGCTGAATGCTGCCAGGCTTCCCTGTGAGAGAATCGATGAGTTGAATGCCAAAGCCTCAGATATATCAACAGACCCTAACCAGCCCGGGTGGTCTACACACCCGTATTCCGACTTTGATGGGATAAATGGTAAGTCATGTTAGACATCGCTCAGGCCCTTACCTGTAGAGACGATGCTTTCGGGCGTCAAGCGTTGAGGGCCATTTCCAGAGCTGCAAAAGCCTTGTTGCGCAGAGCTTCTGAGCTTTCACCGGTGTTTCGACACACTACTCCCCAGGCTCTAGCAGGAGATCGGGTTCGGAAACCGCCCGTGAGGCATCTCATAACGACTTGGGAGATCTTGCGCCCGTGCCTTACACAAACTCAGCTTTTTCTTGCGTGGGTCATGGGCAAGCCACATGCTGAAGTGAAGGGCTACAACCTGTCTTGAAGCCGCGTTTCAGGTGACAGGGTAACTGATGCGTGCGTCTTGGCGACCGCAGCTGCATGGCTCAAATTCGGTTCGTTTCCTCCCACTCTGGTGGGTTTTCGCAGAAGGCCTGTCGAGCTTATCTCGACCAATGTGGCTTGCCTGCATGATTCTGAATTGAAATGTTCGTAGAGCCCCCGGGCAGCAGGTTCCTAGTGAGGGTCCGAGAGAGTCCGAGCCTATTCAGGGAGATGCGGAGACTACGAACGGATTGGTCCTCTTGTTTTGCGTAGTATTGTATATCATAATAGCACAGATGGCCTACAAACTGAGATGATATGAGGCCAGATATAATGTATACTATAATACAAATATATATATATATATTATTTATGTATTTGTTTATTAATGTATTTATTCATTGTTTTATCATTATATTATACTATATAAATATTATATTATTATAATATATATATATATATATTATATATATGTAATACCTTACATGTAGGATAGCAGGCTTGGTCCTATAGTAGCTATCCTGCAGTGCCACATGCCAGCAAGTGCCAGGCATCATGCACGCAACCTTAAACTGCGAAGGGCTGATCACATTGGTCCCCAAATCCGACCTCGCTAGTGGGCATAGATCCTCAGCCATGCGAGAGGGAAAAGAAGGGCTCCCGTGCAGGTTGAGAGAAATGAGAGAAAGTCCAAGCATGAAGGTCGACCCGAATAACTTTCCAAAACTCGTCCCTATTACTAAAGCTGCTTTGCCCAGGAAGAGGCGGAAGAAAGTGCAGCTTGTAGCCTTGTGTGGCATCCTGATCTCAGCCCGCCGGCCGATTTAGAGAGCATTCAGAAGTCAGGAGGGTCCGACCACTTCGGTCATATTGTGCATATACACAAATACACCTGGCCTGAAATCTATGTGATGTTCCGTAGTAGTGTGTGAACTTGACAGTTAAATGATGGTACATGGAGGTCGCAGCTCTTTGATGGCGTCGAAGCGAGAAGTGCTCTTGCCAGAGCAGAACTGCCGTAATATGGCAGTACTAGGGCTTCAGGCTTTACGGCCTGCGGGCCAGTGCCTTGACATCGAGGCCTACGCGTTCTATGTGGAGAACAAGATGGACGACCCGTTTTACCAGCCATCCTGCAGTAGTTCATGGACGGGTGGCAACTGTGTGGCTCGACACGCAATGCAGGGGCGGACAGGGGTAGTGGTTGGCACATGCGATTTTAACCTGAGGTTACAGTGTTCAAAAGTCCGTACGGCCACATTCTCAGCCGATTCCTCAGCTTGCAATGTGCTGCCTCCAGATCTGGCATATTTGCAGCAATAGACCGCGGCAGTGAAACATTCGTGGAGAACTGCACCATCTAGTTCTGTCTGAAAGTGCTGACTTATGGTTTCTGCATAGTAGCATCAAGTGGGCGACCTGGTGACCTCCAAAAGAGTTGCTTCCAGGAGTTCTGCCTGAAAACGTTGAGTAGTTTGTGTGTCTGTGTGTGAGGTCACTGGGGCCTCGTGGAGAAGGGCTCCGTGCTCGACTTGTCCCTAGCAGTTTCAGGACTTCAGAACGAAGCGCGCACTCTTGCAGTGAAGGTTGTGTCATGGGAGATTCCGAAGTGGTGCTTGGGTGATCCCTGCTGAGATGATTCTCCGGCACCATGTGCTGAACGAAGTGTATTGGAGCCGCACTTCCGCACTTCGTCAGGACTCCTGCTCTATTCATGCTACTTCCTGGCCATCTCGGCACCTGGGGCTGCAACGTAACAAAACCTCGAGTTTCAATCTGTAGTGACAGTAGTGAGGCCGTGTGTGTGTCAATCGCTGGGGGCACACAGTCGAAACTACCTCCCAGCATGCTGGCAGCCGTTCCTTGCTGGTTTTCTGGTTGCGTGCTTGGTGCGGTGCTATCAGAGGGCAGCAAGCATGCCAAGGGCACTGCACACTCTGTTGTCTTGCAACCCAGGTAAAAGTCCCGTTTCCCTTGCGAGAGGAGGCATTCCTGGCAGTAGCAACTGCAGGCCTGGCGTGCGGAACTCGTTTCGCGGGTGAAAACCGTCTCGCATGCCACGGCCTGTCGCAATCCGGTGTGGCTTTAGGCCCATTAGGCCATTAGGCTTTATCGTACCAGCTGCAACAGCTGGAAATCTGTCATGTAAATATTGCTCGGGCACTGCTAGGTGGCTTTTTCTCCATCTACCTGCTCTACGTGATCAAGGTCATTTTGCAGGATCTGCGAAGACCTTGATAGCGGGCGGGATTGAATTGCCATAGAGGCCGCGAGATTGGTGCAACAAGGACTTTCAGGAGCAAGTTGTGGGCTGATGGCCTTTGCTTTTGAGCTGGTACTTTGCTTTCGACCGGCTCTTGAAGAACATAACTAGAAAAGTGCTTCGGCAAATTCAGCGGGCAACGGAAAGGAGTTCTGCATCGTGTGCTTCAGCTTCCACTGCTGCCACTTGGCGCATGCAGTACAGCAGCGCTTTCTGTCGCGTCTGTCTACCTCCGAAGAAGTGCTAGTTTTTCGCCCAAATCACAGGCACAAGCGCACGCAACAGCTCCGTTGGTACCTCAGAACTTGCGAAGAGCGCAACCAGGCAACTTCGGGATGCTGGCCCTGGCGATTCTGGAGTACAGAGCGCCCGAAGTCGGCGCCGGTCTTATGCAATGGGGCAGGTGTGCTTTCAGGAAGCTACAGATTAGTATGAAGTGACCAACGAACCGCAACCCGTTCGGGCTAGACAAGCTTGTCACAGATTTAGCTTGCGATGTTGCCAGTTGCAAGACTTTGGCAATTTGGGGGCAGAGGGGTTTTGAGATCAGGATGCGAATTTACAGTATATCCTGCAGGGTTATGTGTAGAACCTCCGGGTGATGGTGTCTTGGCTAATTTTGCCAACCGTCTGGACCCGTGGAACGAAGTGTAGCACTCAGGCAAAACTGCCGTCAAGAAGGAGTAGACTGAGTAGACGAAGTGAGCCAGCAGGGTCGCGACAGTGCTGTGCGTCCTGCGGCAAACCAAATGGCTTGCATCCTGCGTGCCATGCGCATGCATCGCCAGGATGGTTGGTTCCGGTTTCAACAATGCGGCAATGCGAATGTAGTTTCTGTTCTACCTGGGTTTCGTAGCTGGGATGATCTATGGTTCCGATTCCGTGATTGAGACGAATCCTGGCAATACGCCGCAGTCAAGGACACGTCTTGCAATGAGTCCTGCCTTCGCTGGAACTGCAAAACAACTCAGAACAAGACAGGTGCTTAGCCTCGTAACTTTGCCCGCGCCGCTTTCGTTTTGTGCCAGGCAGAAAAAATTGAAAACATCTACATACCCGCCTGCCGCATTCCACCGAAGCAGGGCATCTTCGATCCCCCTGTAGCTGTAGCGGAAGCTCGGCAGCGAGGGCCGATCGAGGGGTTTCCCCTGGAGCTTTGCAAGCTGGGCCGATCCGGTCTGGATCACAAGTTTTGTTTCTTGTAGTTTGGGTTTGGCGTTGTGTTACTTACAAGGCATCGGAAAGAGGTGGAATGGTTCCTTCGGAAATGTACTGGAGAGCGATGGCTGAGCTTGCAAGCCCTTGCTCCAGCTCTGGGCTGCCACTGCCGGAAATGAGTTGCGGAGACGTGAAAACGAAAAGGCACTGGCACGAATGCCCGAAAGCCTTGAAGAGCCAGCCACAGCCTCTGTTGTCGAAGAATATACTTTAATGTAGTACATGCTCAATATCAGAAGCTAGACTTGCTCCAGGTCCAAGGCGCTTCTCCGGCAGCTGCCCGAGCTACGGTCCGCCTCCCAAGTGAACTCAACCAGATGCGGCTGAAAAGGTATCTGCCCTGTTTGTCGCTTCGAAAGCATATTTGCACATTTTATTTTGCCAGAGCAGGAAGTTCAGACATCAGACTTGAGAGTCCGAAACTCTCTGAGAACTGCACCCCTGCGTCCTTACATGAGATACATGAGCACTGCATCATCATTCCTGGCCGCCTGCAGATCAGGACGCTGCGCCTCAGCAGTGCGGGCTTGAGCGCCGAAGGCCCGCTCCTTTTCCGGCTTTCCACGACTCGATCAGGATTGAAAGCGGTACCGCAAGAGTATCCATGCGACCCGAATTATGTATGACTGGTTGCGTTCAGCAGTTCTGCAAGCAAGAGCTTAGTCTCTTTCCGATGCCCAGTCTTGGATAATATGAGAGCCGACGACGTTGTTGTCAAGTTTTTTGTTTGATCTTTTTACTGGGATGACAGCAGCCTGCTTCAAGCGAGAGCGAGATGGTGATCGTGATAGTGATGGTCACCATCGTCATGACAACGGGAAGGACTCGGAACGACGACGTAGGCAGTGACGAGAAGCAGAATGATGGTGGCAGCGGCTATGCCGGCAATGCCATCCACAGCGCCGGTGCTGGTGTTGATTGTGGCCCCATGTGCAAGCTGACATCTTGAATCGCGTTGGGACGCAGAGGCGTCGTAAGCTTAGACACCCGAATTGAGTTCTTGACAAGAGCGTCTATGTTTATACACATGTATGTATGTATGTATGTATGTATTTCTACTTATTTCTTGAAATTTTGCGGATATATATATATATGATATGTAATGTAATGTAATGTAATGTAGTGTAATGTAATGTAATGTAATGTAATGCATATGTGTACATATGTACACACACATATATATATATATATACATATGTATGTACATGTATATGCACGTACGTATGTATCTATCTGTCTGTCTTACTATCTATCTGCCGACGTATCTATCTGTCTATCTATCTAACTATCTAACTATCTATCTCTGTCTCTCTCGCGCTCCGCGTGTGCGCGCTCATGTGTGTGTGTGTGCGTGTGTGTCTGAGGTGTGTGTGTATGTAGGTGTTTCTGTGTTCTTGTTTGGAGACGGGCTTGTGAACGCTTCGGTTGAAGCTTCGTGTGAAAACTCGGGCAACTTTCGGATAGCATGCTGTAGTAGTATGTTATAGTATACGGTAGTATATCGTAGTTATAGTATATGATCTCGACATGCCAGGTGTCAAAGCCACCATTGAAGCTCTCACCGATCGTTGGCCGGGCCCTCGTGCTCAAAATTGGACGCAGCAGATAAGCATGAGCCAGAAGGTTGCAACACAGGGTTTAAGAAAATGTGGTTTACGTGCGCTATCAAGCATTGCGTCTGGTAAAATGCAACGTGCAAAGTGTCAGCAGGCAGGGTTTTGCGGTTTATGTCGGCGATCAGAAAGTCCACCTTGATACTTACCACGCGAACATTGTCAACAGCTTCAAACTCGGATCATCGCGAACACGCGTACTCTTTTCTGCGAAGCGGGTCTGGCCTGCTTAGCTTCAGCCGAGTACAGGGCATGGATCAAGCATGGCGTGGGCTTCCGATCAGCCCACTTCTGGGAAGGTTGTCCTTGCCAGCTGCGAAAGACAATGGCGAGGCCTCCGGAAAACTAGATCCCCGCCTCCCTGACTCTTGACGGAGCTGTAGATTTCTAGCAGTCTAGCATCACCTGTGCAATATACGTTGCTTCTAGATGTTAAGACGGACGGGCATCGACTTGATGTGAGAGAACAGAACTGGGGCAGCATGTCCGGTAAAATTTTCCAGTGATTGCAGCTATTAATGACGAGCCCGTTTTTTGAGCTGCAGAAGTGTCCTGCTCTTTTTTGGCGAGAGAGCCAGAGACTTTCAGATCCAGGCTTCAGATCTTGCGACTGTCCGATGCTTCTGCTTGAGCCATGGAGCCATCCAAGCCCCGACCCTCAACCCCAAACCCTCAACAGTGAGACTCTCAACCCTAAACCCCTAAACCAAACGGCTACAGGACCGTGTTGCTCAGGCTTCGGCTGCATTTTAGCCATGCCAGCCATGGTGGCCGGCAAATGGTTTTTGGCCGTGGTGTCTCTTGCGCATGCCTCATCCCCGGAATGTGAAGATGCTCCGCTGGTGCAGCTGCAGGCCTCTTTGCCCATGCGCGACGAGAAAGCAGAGCGAGAGTGCAGCCCTGATGACCTGGCCTGCATGGCAAGGGAAGAGGCTTGCTCGTTAGCCAAACAGATGGCATCAGACTGGCCGCTGCAGTATGCAAATATGAGGCAGACCTACAGAGAGTTGACAGATGTGTGCGCTGGACGCCCGTTGGACTTCACTGACACTCCAGAAGAGCCATTGGACGTCCCTGGCACAAACCCTGAGGTGTTGTCAACAGCCTCCGCCGATTTTAGTTTTGAGTGCAGCGATCCAGCCTCCTGCATCACCAATGTCGTCAAATACGAAAGCGACAATCCCGGAGCCGAGTGGGGAATGAAAGCTGGCAAGTTTGCAACAAGATTTACATCAGTCCTCTTTAAAGAGATTCTCAAGGCTGCGGGGAAGATTGCCCTGAAAGGCGTATTAGCCTTTACTTTTATAGGCGGCGCGATAAGCGCATTCTTTCCGGGGGCGGGTGGGCTGCCGGTGAATCCGTGCACCTTTGCGGAAACAGAGGATTGGGGGCGCTGCGTTTGGGAACAGGTGAAGCCATTTGTCCAAGAATTTGTAGAGGACCAGTTGGATGATACCTTCGGAGACCTATGGGATGCGACCATCAATGGCTACAAGACAAGACTCTGGGCCTTGAATGCGACAGTTTACCACAATTCCAAGCTGTATCCGAACGGGACCATCGAAGAAATGTCGAACGCGACCAGGGACAGGATGTACGAGGATCTCAAAGCAGTACATGATGCTATGCTCGGTAGCATCCGGCTCTTTCTGACAGATCGTGCCATCAAAACCACAGCAGGAGCTTACCTGTCCCAGTTTGCCTCCTTGCATTACAGTGTGATCACAAACCTTTTGGGGTCCTTGAAATACCGCACCGCCGGCGACCGTTACGTCTTCCAGACTGTTGTAGCATGTTATGCTCGGAGGGTCTACGAGCGTGCCACAGCTGCTTTCAAGTCCCGAATGTCTGTCTTGGAGGCGCATGAGGAGGACCAGGGCATCCGAAAATGCTGCATGGTTGATAATTATAAGTGCGAGGAATGCCACATTGGTTTCGGTGAGTTCAAGGACACCTGGAAGCCCTCGTGTGGCTGGAAGACAGGATATCACACCGTCTGTATGGTAAACGTGTGCCAGTTTGTCCCAGGCCTGTTTGCAAGACGAATGGCTCGGGATTGCTACCAACGTCATCGCGAAGAGGTGGCAAATCAAACTGTCCAGTTTTGGCAGAACTGGTTGTCGCCCCTCCCCACCTGGTTGGACAGTATTGCTGTAATGCAAAGCATCCCAGTAAAACCTACTGCGACATTTCGCAGCAGTGGTTTTGACTGCTCGGCTTTCTAGACTAGTTGGTCTAAGGCATCATCTGCATGTTCTCGAATCCGAATACATGCTGAGCGGACAACTGTCCACCAGTCGCTCAGCACCGTCCTTGCAATTCGTTTGATTTACCCCTGACGGGGTATCATTTGCTCCAAACACAAACCTTGAAGTCAGCAGCAACTTGTCCGTGCAATCGACGAATCCTCTCGGTCGCGGGATACAGATGCCTTTGACGACGCTGCTTCGCCATCGAAAAAAGCACTTGGAGTTGGTGTATCCTTCAGGAGAGTATGTAGGACCTTGATCCTCTCTGAGTCTGTAGCTTGGACAGTCAAACGATCATCGTCGAACGAGTTCCCTGCGGTGCAACCTAGTCAGCTGGGCGTTATTACTATTATTGTTATTATTGTTATTATCATTATTACCATTATTTTTATGATTAGTAGTATAATTAACTCCTCTAAATCCCCAAACCCTGGGAGGCCTGGGACCCCTCGCGGCTCAGTGCGGCCAGCGCCTCCAGTGGCCCTGGCACCCGGGATCTTTTCAGTGGTTGAGGACTTCGGGCTTAGAGTTTAAGGGGTTTAGGGCTTAGAGGGTTTATAGGGTTTAGGGTTGATCTGAGAAATGCAGAGAATTGGGTGTAAGGTCTTGGGTTCATTGGCGCGAATTCATGGATGCATGCTGGGCACAGCGTTGCTTAGGTACCTGGGCTGTTTTCGAAAATGTCGATAAAGTTTAAAACAACACTTGGACAGATGGAGCAGGTGCTGCCGCTACTAGGCCAACTGGTAGTGGCCGCAGTGTTTCGGTCGATGACGCATAGATTCACACCTGAGAGTTTGAGTTCGGTGTCACAACTGAGGCCAAAGAACATGTAAGGTTGTGAACCAGGCTTGGTCGTGAGGACTGAGGCATTCATTTTTTCGATCTGAGGGGCTGTCAGAAAGTCAAATGGTCCATCGTGCGCAGCAGCTTCAGTCATCTTGTTATTGTGGTTTAGCAGTTTAGCCGATATGATCTTTTCTGACGAAGTTGCTGTCGAATCCGCTGCCCAACATGTTTCTGAATTTGTGCTCGGCTGTACGACTGCATGGCCAAGCCCGAGGCAGTGCATATGCTCAACAGTCAAGCTCGCCTTCAAAGACCCCAGTGTCAGCATGGCCGTCTGTTGCTCGGAAGTCATTGAACCTTCAGGGGCAGGAAATGCCTTCTCATTGTTGGGGCAAAACTCGGCAAAGATTAGAGAGGTCGCACGTTCATTCGCCAAGTTTTGGTGCATGTTGTTAGGGCACTGCAAGTCAGCCGTGTTCAGTGGCTCTAGCAGTGAACGATTGGGACCTTGCTTGCTAAACACATTTTTGGGGATGGCATTCGTGATGGAATTCAGGATGTCTTGTCGCCACCACGGTGGAGAGGTAACATCCAAGCGTGAAGCCCTGTCTGGGCTAGCATTGTAAGTTCTCCTCAACTTGAAGATCGTGGTGATGGAGACGGTACTGTACTGAGCTCTAGAAGCAATCCCACTCGCGCACAGTAGAGGTCTTTGTGTTCAAGTGCTGGTATGGATGAAGTGCCCGCAGCTGTCAAGATTGTCGGAAGATTAAAGATTGCGGAGAAACACTGCTTCGTCAACGAGCCAGTTCAGAAATCCAATCGGCAGCTGCAAGGCTATCCAGACGTTGAATTAAGTTGAATTCCCAGCCAGAGGCCCAACAGAAGCCAGTTTATGGTCAGCTGTCAAGGCCGCAAGCGCAGGCGACCGGAGCCAACGGGGCTCTTCGTTCGTCTCGAGGTCTGCAGGCCCTCCGCGAGTGAGTGCGATTGCGCAAGTTTTGTGACCCTTCCTTGAGGTTTGCATGAGCTCGGGATGTGATGATGTGATGTTCTGCGGTCATGGATGGGGGTGATGATGATGATGTTGCTGATGCTGGGGATTTCAGGCTGTAGGCTTCCTGAACATGCCTATGTCAAGTTCGGCACCTGGTGTCTGTCCGGGATAAAAGGGCGGGCCATTTCTGCCAAGCTTTCGCTGGGCTTCTCGCGCCGTCGATGTGGTCGGGATTTGGAGGCTGGATCTCAGGGGCTTGAGACTGAAGCCCGAAGAAGCTGGAAACCCTGATTTTAGAGTCGGAACAACAGCAATGAGTAATATAAGTTCCCTTATCACAGTCCCTAAAATCGTTATTATAGAAGATATCTTCAAAGCCTCTTCGATGTTTATCTTTTTTTTGAAGGCCCCCTTACTACATCAGGTGTTGGAGCTCGCAGCCAGCTCCGTGGATGCTGCCGTGGGAGCCCAAGGACCTCTCGCAGGAAAGAAAGGCTGCTGGCAGTAGAGAGGCCTTCATGTTCAGAATAGATTTTGTTTGAGGCTTTAGCAGGATTTGTCTTAGGGGTTTCTCTACGGTTTAATATTTGTCTTTGAGGCTGAACATGTCTGCCAGGGCCCTGATCCAGCAGTGGATTGCTCAATGAACATGGACAGTACGAGTTGCCGTTCTGTGTCGCAGCTGGGCAGGGTTTTTGGATCGGATATGTCGCTTTGGCAACGCTGGCCTTGAGCCTCGCCCGAATCTTCTTCTGCAAGAATGGAAGATCCACAACAAGTTTTGACTTTGAATTTGACCCTTCCAGCCTGTTAAGCCCTCAGATGCAAAGGTACCGGAGCTGGGCCTGTACCTGGTCAGCCCGACCTGTTTTGCAACGAGGGCTATACGGCAGGTGAATGTTTGTAGACTTCGTAGATCCTTGACCCGTGCTTTCTGCGGGCGGTTCAGGATGACTTGGTTCGAGTATTTTGAGCATCGAGCATCAAGGGCCTTTATGTGGAGGGCTGAGGGCTTCAGAGCACGAGATTTAATTGCCAATGGTGCACTTGCACCTCACAGCCCCACATCTCCGGCACGGTATTCATGGAAGATTTCAGGGTTCTGATGCTCGAGCATGGACATGAAAGTGATGGGTTCGGGGTTTAAAGCCAACCTACTGGGTCTAAGCGGGTCTACTTAGCAATACTTTCTATGGGGGCTTTCTCTTCTCTCGTGAGTCGGCGAGAATGGTGCGGCCTGGCCGTCTTGCAGGAATTGACACTCAGTGGGCATTGGTTCTTCATTTGCTTTTGACGTTGCACGCAGCGAGACAAGCCACAGAATAAGATGTCACTTGAATCCGAGTTCTCCGCACTGTGGCACTTCCCTGGGACGAGAGTGTCATGTCATTACTATAAACACTCCTTCGTATGATCCTTCATGGTCAACAGGTGTCCTACCCTAGCGTGCACGAGGCAAACCGATGCACCGCAGAAGTACCGATCGCACATACCCCAAGATCAGGATCATCGCTCGTCGCCTGAGTAGTGAGTAGTGTTTCGCCTAGCCCATGATTCGGACTCACAGTGCCAGGCCAGCCAGTGTTGCACCCTCACCGAGCTGGATCTGTCCTGGAATACCCTCGGTACCTGCACCTGGTGCACAAGCGTGTCCAGCTGCAGTTTCAGGTCAACCTGACATGTGCAAGACTAGAGGTCCGAATGCGGTGCATCAGCTCAGCTGGCACTTGCGTGGGACGCCTGGCAAGCTGCAGACATGACGGGGCAAGCGGTTTCTATTTGGAGAAGAGAAATCCTCACCGCGAAAATCACCAAGTTCGCCGGCAGTGCGAAGCGCATCTTCCCCCATCTGGCCTATTGCTGATCTAAGGTCAGAACGTCACTTTGCGCACGCTGCGGCGCATCTCTCAGCGATGGAATATATCTGCTCGTGGGGGGATGTGTCGCACAGTCGGCGAAACGCACCTCTAGCAAACGCTCCAATCCTGCACTTCTGAGGATGCGGTACGTGAGTATACGGTAATGACAGTCGCCAGTGTAAATATCAGTACTTGGGACACTTACACAGTTCTTTGCAATCCACAGGCATGGCCTTGTGTCCAACCTGTAGAGCAGTCATGTACCTTAAGTTTCGAACCTATCGCTATGTTCAGCACAGTTAGTCTTAAATATTTCCCATCCAACCCACTTGGTTGTTGCCACCCGAGGCTAGCACATTGCCACCTAAAAGAGGCTGCCGGCGTGCCTGAACTCAGTTTTTTGTTGCCCTGCTGTTGTGGCATGCCCTTCTGCCCGGTGCTTATACTGACTGCCAGGGTCTACGGTGGGCTTTACGATTGCTTTGTGTGAGTGTGTGTGTGTGTGTCTGTGAGTGAGTGAGTGAGTGAGTGAGTGAGTGAGTGAGTGAGTGAGTGTGTGTGTGTGTGTGTGTGGGGGTGCGTGTGTGTGTGTGTGTGGCTTATAGCAGGCCGTGAGCGTTATGGAGGGTTAGAGGGTTCGACATGGGTAGTTAAAGGTCGGACCAGCCTCAGTTACAACAAGTGGGTGAACAGGAGCGACAAGCGGTTTGCTGCAGAGCCTGTCCTTTCCTGTCTCTCCGTGCTACTGCTCGCTTCAGACCGAACAGCCGCTCCCCCATGGAGGGGTATGACTTGCCCTTCTTGTCTGTGAAGACAGGAGAACTTGCTGCTTTACCTTCTCCAGGGCCAGAGTTGAGTTTCCACCGATGTCCTGTAAAAGCTGCTCGGGATGCCACATGTTGCAGTGTTGGGAGCACAAGGTGGCGAGGATTCCGGACCAAGTTGTTAGGATCTGGAATCTAGCCTCAGGGGCGCCGGGATGTCGCCGGGGGGATCTTGATCTTCACCACCCGTCTCCAGCCAAGCATCCCGATCCATGTGGGTGCCAGTGCGACGTCCCAATGTCCTCTCGCCTACAGCCGCGAAAGGGGATGGAGAGGGCGAACGCGCGAGTCCAGGCAGCTAAGCAAGCACGCAAGTAAGAGATCTGCGGGTGCCTTTCATCCCTCACTGCTACCTACCTACCTACCTACCGACCTACCTACCTACCTGCCTGGCTAAGTACCTGCCTACATACATACATGCGTACTTACACGTGCATTAGTGCATAGGCTAATATGTGCCTACGTGCATTGGTACATAGGTGCATACGTATATACATGCATTGAAACACAGACATAGACATAGGGATGCAGACGTACAGACACACATACGGACAGGCAGACAGGCGGACAGACAGACAGAAAAAGCCAGAGTCCGAAAGAGACAGAGACAGACAGACACACGCTTTGCAATTCACTCAACACATGGCTCACACGTAGTATCAGCATACATGTCCTCACTGATCAGGTGCTATGTGCATGCTTGGCCACGACTGGAAGCCACTTGCCACTTCAGAGGCTGATGTGGGCATTCGTGAGACCAAAGCTTACGGGAATGCAGATAGAGGCTACAGAGAGGGTGCTGGAGCATGTTCAACTTGGTAATTAACTTCGTCTTTCTGGATCTTCACAAGCGCATGGGGACAGCGCAGGCTGGACCTGGCCCGGAACGCCATGCCAACTGCAGCCTTCGAGGAGCCGGAGGTCTAAGTTCATTGCGGTGGGGGGTTGGGCGTGCAGACCTTGCAGGTGCCATCTGCGGCCGACCATTGAAAGTTAAGCTACATGTTCGGAAGGCGCTCTCCAAAAATTTGTTTCAGATGAGCCTGGCTTGAGGCTTGAGGGGTGGCTATTGATAAGTTCTTTCTGTCGGTTCACTGAGGCTGGCGATTTTCCTGGGCAGCGTCGTGGGCCGACACCTTGGTCACACTGCAATGGCCTATCATTATCTTGGTTTCATTTCACCACAATGTGGAAACTCTCTTGGCACACGTGTTGCACTGGTCATGTCCGTTTCCGGTTCCAGGTCGACAGATCACGGACCTGGACATCTCAGGGAATAGCGCAGTCTCGGACGAGCCGGGCCCCTGCAACTGCAGAAGCACTCATTGCCTGAGCGCCGGCTGGCAAGGCTTTGCTCCCTCTCTCTCTCCCTCGCTCGCTCTCTGTCGAACGGCATGTCTTTAGCGGCCATGTCATGCCCATGCCAACGGCCAGGCAGGCGTGCCGAACGATGCTAGTGTTCGTCGGGATGCGTTGGAGAAGCTTTGTGAGCAGTTCTGAGGTCAGGTTGGTCGATTGCCCTCTAACTGCATCGCATTAAGCACTGACTTCCATGAAGGCCGACTGGCGAGAGCCGTCTGTGCTAGTGCCGGCAACAGCCCAGACTACAACGTCTGCCGTGATGTGACGCAATTAACTCTCTTTGCGAGTCTTCTTGCCATGAGCGCAGAAGTACAGCACAGCACTGAAGCAGACAGGCGGACTTGCGCGTAAAGTCGATCTGCATTGCTGCCAATTGAAGTCGTGAGATGCTGTGATGGTGAAAGACCGCTCGAGGATCCTTTGCACCACAGTTTTGCAAAGCTGAGCTGTGCCCTTGATTTTCTGTTGCATGTTGCATCGGTTCTCTGCTGCTGGTGGTGCAATGCCGCTTCATTGCTCATCCCGCTGGCCGTGATGTCAGTAACGTGATTAACTCTCTTGACGAGGACGTATGTTGTGAGCTCAAGACAATACGCACTGAGCCGAACTGGCTGGTCGAATTTGCATATGTGCGCAGTGTTTCTGGCTTGTGGGTGTACGGTTGGAGGAGGGTGGGTTCGAGGTTTACATATATAGCAGAAAGCCGCGCAGCTGGTTCAAGTCGGCACAAAGAGTTTGTGTCACGTGTCGATGCGTTCTCACTCTTCGCGAACATGGCATTGGTACACAGCTGCCTGTCCTTTGCCGCTGTGATGCTGGGGGTCTGACAGACGGATCTTTGACTGAGTTCTTGGGTTGGCTTTGTCGATCATCAGGACTCGCACTGCGCTGCATGGAGCACTGCGTTGCATGAAATCGGGCCTTTGCGGAAAATGGGTCCGACACAAGGAATCACAAGGAACGCTTCGCATGAGCCCGAGAACCGTTTGCGCTAGTTCCAGCAACCGCCCAGACTACAACGTCTGCCGTGATGTGATGCAATTAACTCTCTTTGCGAGCCTTCTTGCCATGAGCTCAGAAGTACAGCACAGCACTGAAGCAGACAGGCGGACTTGCGCGTAAAGTCGATCTGCATTGCTGCCAATTGAAGTCGTGAGATGCTGTGATGGTGAAAGACCGCTCATCCTTTGCGCCACATTTTTGCAACGGTAAGCTTTGCACTGCCACTTCATTGCTTACGTGATGTCAGTACCGTGATTAACTAACTCTCTTGACGAGCACGTATGCTGTGAGCTCAAGACAATACGCACTGAGCCGGGCTGGATGGTCGGGTGTGCAGATGTGTGCAGTGTTTCTGAATCGTGCTTGTGCGGTTGAGGAAAGGGGGGTGCAGTGCAGCTGGGCCGCTGCACTGTTTGCGGTCTGACAGACGAATCTTTGTCTGAGTTTTTGGGTCGGGTTGGTCGATCATCCCGACCAGTACTGCACTGCATGGAGCACTGCCTTCCATGAAAACATGAGTTTTCTTCCCCGAAACATGGATCCGACACACAAGGAACATCTGTGCTTGTGCCAGCAACCGCCCAGACTACAATGTCTGCCGTGATGTGACGCAATTAACTCTCTTTGCGAGCCTTCTTGCCATGAGCGCAGAAGTACAGCACAGCACTGAAGCAGACGGGCGGACTTGCACAGTACAGTCGATCTGCATTGCTGCCATTTGAGGTCATGAGATGCTGTGATGGTGAAAGACCGCTCGAGGATCCTTTGCACCACAGTTTTGCAAAGCTGAGCTGTGCCCTTGATTGTCTGTTGCATGTTGCATCGGTTCTCTGCTGCTGGTGGTGCAATGGCGCTTCATTACTTATCTCGCTGGCCGTGATGTCAGTAACGTGATTAACTCTCTTGATGAGGACGTATGCTGTGAGCTCAAGACAATGAGCCGAACTGGCTGGTCGAGTTTGCATATGTGTGCAGTGTTTCTGGCTTGTGGGTGTACGGTTGGAGGAGGGTGGGTTCGAGGTTTACATATATAGCAGCAGAAAGCCGTGCAGCTGGTTCAAGTCGGCACAAAGAGTTTGTGTCACGTGTCGATGCGTTCTCACTCTTCGCGAACATGGCATTGGCAAGGACCGCTGCGATGCTGGGGGTCTGACAGACGGATCTTTGACTGAGTTCTTGGGTTGGCTTTGTCGATCATCGCGACTCGCACTGCGCTGCATGGAGCACTGCGTTGCATGCAATCGGGCCTTCTTGTTTGCGGAAAATGGATCCGACACAAGGAGTCACAAGGAACGCTTCGCATGAGCCCGAGAACCATTTGCGCTAGTTCCAGCAACCGCCCAGACTACAACGTCTGCCGTGATGTGATGCAATTAACTCTCTTTGCGAGCCTTCTTGCCATGAGCTCAGAAGTACAGCACAGCACTGAAGCAGACAGGCGGACTTGCGCGTAAAGTCGATCTGCATTGCTGCCAATTGAAGTCGTGAGATGCTGTGATGGTGAAAGACCGCTCATCCTCTGCGCCACATTTTTGCAACGGTAAGCTTTGCACTGCCACTTCATTGCTTACGTGATGTCAGTACCGTGATTAACTAACTCTCTTGACGAGCACGTATGCTGTGAGCTCAAGACAATACGTACTGAGCCGGGCTGGATGGTCGGGTGTGCAGATGTGTGCAGTGTTTCTGAATCGTGCGTGTGCGGTTGAGGAAAGGGGGGTGCAGTGCAGCTGGGCCGCTGTACTGTTTGCGGTCTGACAGACGGATCTTTGTCTGAGTTTTTGGGTCGGGTTGGTCGATCATCCCGACCAGTACTGCACTGCATGGAGCACTGCCTTCCATGAAAACATGAGTTTTCTTCCCCGAAACATGGATCCGACACACAAGGAACATCTGTGCTTGTGCCAGCAACCGCCCAGACTACAACGTCTGCCGTGATGTGACGCAATTAACTCTCTTTGCGAGTCTTCTTGCCATGAGCGCAGAAGTACAGCACAGCACTGAAGCAGACGGGCGGACTTGCACAGTAAAGTCGATCTGCATTGCTGCCATTTGAGGTCATGAGATGCTGTGATGGTGAAAGACCGCTCGAGGATCCTTTGCACGACAGTTTTGCAAAGCTGAGCTGTGCCCTTGATTGTCTGTTGCATGTTGCATCGGTTCTCTGCTGCTGGTGGTGCAATGCCGCTTCATTGCTTATCTCGCTTGCCGTGATGTCAGTAACGTGATTAACTCTCTTGACGAGCACGTATGCGGTGAGCTCAAGACAATGCGCACTGAGCCGAACTGGCTGGTCGGGTGTGCATATGTGTGCAGTGTCTCCGGCTTTTGCGTGTACGGTTGAGGGAGGGGGGCAGTTTGACGCGGAACACCCAGCTGGTTCAAGTCGGCACAAAGAGTTTATGTCACGTCGTGTCGATGCCATTTCACTCTTCGCGATCATGGCATTTGTACAGTGCTGCCTATCCTAGGCCGTAGGCCGCTGTAATGCTTGCGGTCTGACACACAGGTCTTTGTCGGAGTTCTTGGGTCAGCTTGGGAGATCATCTCGACTCGCACTGCACTGCATGGAGCACTGCCTTCCATGAATTCGGGCCTTTTTCCGTAACATAGTACAGCACAGCCGTAGCAGTGAAACAGACGGGTGGAACCGTTGGAGGATTTCGGCTGCAGGGTTGAGGCTTGAAGAAGGGGAGGGGCAGAAGGCACAGCACACAAGCATTTTAATCCAATCCAATCCAATCCATCCATCCATCCATCGCTACATACATTACGAACGCGGGAACACACGCATCTACGCACATATATCCCCCCCCCCCATACAAACACCCTCACACACACACACACACTCTCTCTCTCTCTCTCTCTCTCTCTCTCTCTCTCTCTCTCGCTCGCTCGCTCTCACAAACACGCACATGCGTGCGTGTGCATAGACACGCACACAGAAAAATGCGAGCATACATACATACCTACATACAAACACACGGAGACGCAAGCATGCATACATTCGTCCATACAAAACCACACATATATACACAACATGCACAATATACATGTACATACAAACTGTAATATTCATTATCTTCATAAATACATGTACATACATATAAACATATGTACATACCTACATACATACACAGACATGTACATATACATATACATATACTCACACTCTTATACACATACATACAAACATACAGGCATAGAGGTAGACAGGCATACAGACATACAGCCATACATACGCTACATACATATTCACATGCATGAACACACACACACACAGACGCACACACACACACACAGACGCACCTAGGGCCTGCAGTCGAGCTTTGGGTTCGGCTTTGCAGCCGCCTGACAACCTGGAGGCCAGGGGCTCTTAGGCTTCACCCAGATTCAGGCTTGCGGGTTTGAGGGTTAGGGTTTGGGGCCTCACAGTTTGAGAGCTTGCAGTGTTCAGATTCTCTGGTTCCAAGGACTTGCGAAGGTCTGCGGGGAGAGGCTAGGGTTGTTGTTAAGGTTGTTCAAGGTTGGAGGTCATAATAATAGCAGAAACTCTCTAGACTCCAGTGCAGGGTCGAGTCTTGAATCACTTGCCCGATCCTCAGAAGCTGTGCTTAGTCCCTTGGCCAGTTTCGAACTGCATGAATCATCGCCCAAAGCTCTACAAGTGACGAATCGAGCGACTCACGGATAAAAATAAACGTGTACTAATGGACACGCTGCCGCTCCTGTCAAACCCACGAACTACTGGAGCCGCCCTCCTCCCCACTGCAAATGCCTTGTGAGTCTGAGCTGAGCTGCTCCTACTCTGGAGGCACCTGGGGTCGGGAGATGTTGGGATAATTTGAGCTTCGAATGGGCAGCTTTCGTCAAAGCGAAGCCGAAAACCATGCTTGGCAAGCTTGGTCGCATGGTGCGTGAAGCACAGCTTGTCGGTGCATAGCCTGCCGTCATGGAACCTGAAAGTTGACGCACGTGACAATTTACAGCTTGGGAAGATGTGAATGTGGTCAGTTCTGCACGGGCAAGAGCGTCTCAACGCAAAACTTCCAGCACGTCTCACCTGCTGTCCCTAAAACCTTTCGTGGAGCTCGCGCGGCCATAGCCACAGCTACAGCTGCCATGGATACTGCACC